ACTGTAGGTTTGTGTTTTTGCATGTGAATTTCTGGTTGCTTGCACATCATTTACTGGCAAGAATATATTTTCTCCACCTCTTCTCCTTCTTCTTCTTTTCACCAATTTGAATTCACTGTGTTCCTGTGGCTCTATTCCCTGGTTTCCCATACTGTTCCATGTGGGTGTATACCATTTCCTAGGCCTGTCCCAGAGCATCTAGATTGTCACAGCTTTATGGTGGGTCTTGAAGTCAGTGCGTCTACTCCTAAAAGTCCTACTGCTCCTTCAGTTCTGGGTGGGCTACTCTCGACCTTTTGTCTCTTTCAATATAAAGTTTAGAATTCTTTTGTCAATATTTACAAAATACAAGCCAGTGGCTTTGATTGAGATCGAACAGAATACATTTAATGGATAAATTGAACTGGGAAGAATTAACATTTTAACAATGCTGAGTCTTTCAATCATGGACCTCTATTTAATGCCATTCATGAACATTTTGGAGCTCTCTTTGACACAGAAATAAACAGTTGAATTTTCTACATATATATTTTGTACTTTTTTCAAACCCATGACCTCACACTTGCCAGACAGGTGCTTATGCCTCTGAGCTTAATCCCTGATCCTTATATTTTGTACACATTTTGATTTATAACTAAGTATTTTAGTTTTTGAAGGTGTGCTGATGTACATGGTGTGATTTTTTTACTTATTCATTGCTGGAACAGAAGAACTAGACAGACTTTCATACTTTTATCTCCTATCCTACAATCTTGCTGTGATTACTTATTAGTTTAAGGAACTTTTTACCTATTATTCATTATTTTTTATAGACAACATATCACCAATGAACGAAGTGTTTTATTTCTTGCTTTCCAAGTCATGCCCCTATTGCTTTTTCTCATCGTATTGTACTGGTCAATACTTCCAGTAATATCATAGAAAGAGGTTACAGCAGGAAAACACTTGGACCACAGCTGCTCTGAAGGTGCCCAAGCACAGCCAAGAGCCAAGGTCCAGCGAGAAAGCCTCAGATTTCCTGTGATCAACTACATGTTGTAGATATTTTCAGTGTTCATCAGATCAAACAAGTCTTTTTTAATTACTTACGTTACTGGTGATCACATTCATCACAGAAAATTCCTACTTGTACATGGTATGTCTTAATTCTTTTTTTCCCACCTCCTACCTTCCTTTCAACCCTTTCTTTTGTCATTTACTAAAACTTTGTCTCTGTTTTTTCTTCTTTTTCATTTTTCTCCTTCCTTTTTTTCCCCTTTTCCCTCTCCCCATGTCCCCTTCTCATTTGAAAATTTCATTCCTGTTTCACAATACCTATCACACATTTTGGTCCTTATTTGCACCTTTGGCTTCCCCCACCAAAGAAAGAGTAGGCTATTCACATGTGTACCCAATTTATTTCACTTACCAGTATGATCTCAAGGTGCATTCACCTGCCTGGAAATATCTCATATTTATCCTTTTTATGGCTGAGAAGCACTCAACTGCATTAAAAACCACATCTTCTTTATACACTTACCTGTTGATGAACATTCTGGTTATTTCCAAGATTTAACTATTACAAACTGTACTACCATATACATGGGTGTACAGGTATTGCTGTATGATGCTTTTAATTCTTTTGAGAAGAAACCAAGATGGAGAATAACTGAGTCAAACAGAACCTCTAGTTTCAGTATTCTGAAGAATTTCCATACTGATACCCACAGTGGTTGCACCAGTATACACTCCCCTAAACAGTGTAGGTGGATTCATTTTTCCCTGTTGCCTCTCCAGCATTTGTTATTGGTTGATTTCTTGATAATAGCCATTCTTTCTGGAGTGAGATGGAATCTCAGCATTGTTTAAACTTGCATCTCTGAAATGACCAATGATGTTGAACATTTTTTCATGTATTTCTTTGCCATTTCTACTGCTTCGTCTGAAAATGAAATTCATTTTCATTGCCCATTTATGGACTGGGGTCTTTAAATTTGGGTGGTCTAATTATATATATATATATATATATATATATATATACACACACACACACACTTTAAAATATTAGTGTTTTGTCTGAGGAACAGCTGACAAAAGTTTTTCCCTTTGTGAGCTGTGTTTTCACTCTGTTGATTTCTTTTGCTGTGCAAATGCTTTTTATCAGTTGTTGATTCCTTGTGATATATCCTGTAGGATCTTGGTTCCGTTTCCAAAGTCTTTGGACTCACTTATATCTTCAAGAGTTCTACCTATTCTCTCTTCTAGCAGATTTAGTGTTTTATTTTTAATATTTAGATCTTTGATCCAATTTTATCTTAGTTTATGAATATTGAGGGTCTTGGGCCTAGTTTTTGTCTTTGGCATGTGGAAAGCTAGTTTTTCCTGCACCATTTGCTAAAGAGGTTACCTTTTTTCCAGTGAAGGTGTTTGGCCCCTTTGTTGAAGATAAGTGGCTGAGTGAATTTGTTGTGGCAGCTTCTATTCTGTTCCATTGATTCTCAGATTTTTTTTTGCCAGTTTCATGCTGTTGTTATCACAGTAGCTTTGCAGTATGTTTTAAAGTCAGGGATTGTCATGCCTCCTGGCTTACCTTTGTTCCCCAGAATTGATTTTGCTACTCTATGTCTCTTCAGGATTGTTTTATTTAATTCTGCGAGAAATGCTATTTATGTTTTTATTGGTATTGCTTTAAATATGTATAACAATTTTGGAAATATGGCCATTTTCATTATGTTGATTTTTCCCACTCAAGAATAAGGAATATTTTCCCATTTTTGCACACTCTTCAATTTCTGTGTTCAGAATAAAGTGGTTTTGCATGCAAATATCATTTATTTCTTTTGTAAGACTGACTTCTTATATTTTTTGATGCTATTGTGAAAATGGTGGCTTTTCTAATTTCTCTCTCAGTGTGTATAATTTTTGTGTTCAGGAATGTTATTGATTTTTGAGTGTTAACTTCATATCTAGCTTAATGATCTAGTTTGGTTATTAAATCTAGAAGTTTTTGAGATCTTCTATGTAAAGTATATCATCTGCAAATAAGAATAATTTAACTTCTTCTTTTCATATATTTATTCCTTTATTTTTCTCTTGACTAATTGCTATGGCAATTTTCTATCCCAGAACTACCTTATATAGGAGTGATGATAGTGGATGTTCTTGTCTTGTTCCTGATTTTAGAGTAAAACTTTTAGTTTTTGACCATATATTAAGATGCTGGCTGTCTATCTGTTTTATCTGATTAAGATAAAGACCATCTATTTCAATGACATTTTTATCATGAATTGATATTATATTTCATCAAACATTGTTTTCTATAGCTATTGATGTGGCCATTGATTTTCTTTGTTTTTAAGATATTGTTGTAGTGGATTACATTCATTGATTCTCTAATGTTGAGCCAGCCTTGCATAAATGGGATAAATTCTACTTGATTATTCTATATAATATTTTATACATTGTTGCATTAAATTTGCTGGTATATGTTACAGATTTTTGTATCTTTGTTTAGAAGACATTTTAGTCTGTAGTTTTCTTTTATCATAATTTATTTGTCTGCTTTTAGTATTGGAGGATGCTAAATTACTTTACTTTAAAGAGATTGCAGGGAAGTGTTGTAATTTCTTTCCTAAATGCTCCTGAAACATATCCTTGTATGAATTTTGGCAGACTTTGTATTTCAAGAAACTGGTCTATTTCATTTAAGTTACCACAGAATTGTGGGCATAAAGTTGTTTGCTGTATTGTTTTATTATCATTTTCATATCCATAGGATCTGTAATTCTGTCTCCTCTTCCATTTACAATATTAATAATTTGTGCTCTTGCTCTGACTTAATTAGGCAGACTACAGCCTTGCTAATTTTATCTAACTTTTCAAAGAATCAGGTTTAGGTGATACTTTCTATTGATTTCATGCATTTTCTATCCCAGAGCTACATTATATAGGAGTATAAAATCAATGATACTGTCTATTGATTTCATGATTTTAGACTCTTTTTTTTTTTTTTTTTTGGACCAGAGATCAAACTCACGACTGTGCACTTGTCAGGCAGGTGCTTATGCTGCAGAGCTAAAACCCAGAGTGATTTCATGATTTTAGGTCACAAATTTTTGCTTTAATTCTTATCATTTATTTGCTTATGCCTATTTTATGCTTGTATTTTTCCTAGTGTTATAAAAATCAAAAGCTTATAATCCTGCCTGAGTTTGTCACAACATGTTGGAAAATTGACCAATTTATTAGTCTGTCATAAGTTTATTTATTCCTAATAATTTTGCTTGTTTTGAAGTCTGATCTCTCTAAATTAATATAACACTTCTGCTTTCTTTTGATTAGCTTCATCATTATATATTTTTCCTCCATTCATTTGCTTTTCATCTATATGTGTGTTTACAATTGAGTTAAGTTTCTTATAGACAGCATGCAGTTGGTTCTATTTTTTATCTGATAATCTATCCCTTAATTGATGCACATAAGCTTTTGAAATTTGAAGTGATTATTGACATTAATCTGTCATATGTGTTACAGTTTGTTATTGCTGCCCTTGTTCTTTGCTCTGATATTTAGCATTCACTCTTTTCTTTTGCACAGTTTTAATCGAGAATTTTGTACGACTTGATGTTTTTTACTTTCCTAGCATGATAATCATACACACTCATCTTACTTTTATTGGTCTTGCTTTAGAGTTTATAGTATGCATTTTTAAGTAAGCTGTCTAATTTCAAATAACATTATACTGCTACAAAAGGAATTTTAGTATTTTATAACAAAATAACCACAGTTCCTTCATCCAACCTTTTGGATGATTGATGTGGGAAAAATATATATATACACACACACATATACATATATTTTATATGACAAATACATAAGCATACATAATAGAATACAACATTGTTGTTGTTTTAAACAAAGTTTTATTAGAACAACTAAAAATAACATTTTTATTTACTTGTGCTATATTTTCTCTGAAATTCTTCTTTTTGTTATCTAAATTTCTTACACACATTTCCTCCTTTGTAAATAATTTCTTTTAACACTTCTTGTATGGAAAATCTGATAAAAATTTCATTGGTTTTAGGTTTTTTTTTCTCAAAAATGTCTTTATTTCTCCTTTGCATTGGGAGAATAATTTCAAAAGATACAGAATTCTTGGCCACTGGACTCTCTCAGAACTTGAAATGTGCCACTTCAAGCTGGTGTTTCCATGGTTTCTGAGCAGGAGTCTTAGGCTTGCTTCACCACAGGGCCAGTACCTGGTTCCGGACTGGATTCCGGCCCTGGTCTCTGCTCCGAAGGTTCTCCACACCCTTGGGGCCTCTCTATTTGCAGTCGTTCGATTCCTCTTCAATCTGAGCCTTCTGCTGTCTTACGGATCTGAGAAGATACGGGTTTTTATTTGTCTGGTCTTTTTTAGTTGTTAAGTCAAAGGGGCAATTTCCAAACTTCTTTTATGCAGAACTAGAAAGAGCTGTAATAAAATAAGAATTTGATCATTGATCATTTAACAAGGAAGTGACCCTATTAATCTTAGGTACAATTTTGTGTGTCCATGCTTCAGTTACCCAGAAATGACTTAGAATATGTGGTAAACCACTTCCTGTTCACTGGTTAAGAATAGTTATGTCATCCATGCATTTATATCACTGAGAGGATTGCAGAGTAAATATAACAGAGAGGACTGAGGAATCACACCTGCCCTGTCACATTGCCTCTCCATAGAGTCTACTGAGCTTCTTGTGTAGATATCAAATTTAAGAAAGTGATCTCAAAATATCTTGTTTATTAAAATGTGCAATACTAAGCATTAGTGGTCTCCATCAAAAGGAGAATTTATAAGATTTTTAATTATTAAACACACCCATCTGACGTTAATTAAGATCTGGGATTGGGCACGTATGTTTGTCTATGTTGTCCGTTTATCATCAAAGCCCCACACAAACCCTGACTACAGCATCCATGTAAATTTTGAATTAAAAATGAATGAAATGAACTCTTGAGATGCTAGCATTAAAAGCAGAAGTTAATAAAATAAAATGTGACATGATTATATGGCTCTCAGGCTCTATATATTTGATGACTGTGTGTTTCTGGCATAAATTATTGCAGGATCTTTATAGACTTTCAGAAACTTTCTTTTTGGCCAGCTGTGTTACTTCAAATCTAGGTTGAAAGGAGGAATTTTGTAGAGAAGATTTGGGGATTTTATTTCTCAGTAACTAAAAATAAAAGCACACTTCTGGCTTTTGACAAATGCTCTCAGAGTGAATGCCCTGGGAATTAATCACATAGTCATTAGGGCTGGAAGTTTGCTCATCTAAGTTGAGACAGAAATCAATCAAGCAAACTAGCTTCTGTATAAAATGTCAGGTTGATTCCAGGGTTTCAAGCAATAAAGCTAATATCATTGCTTTCTTGAGTTCAGATATTATTAAATTAATAAAATATATAGGGAAAGTTTTTTTAGAAAAAGAAATCAATTCCACAGTAGTACTCATTCTTTAACTAGTGAAATTAACTTCAGATTTTGATGTTTTTTTTGTTTTGTTTTGTTTTTTTGGTTTGTTTTGTTGCTTGCCTACATCTATTTGTGTTCTTACTGCTTGATCTATGGCAATAACCTTTTATCAGGTTCCCTGTCTTGAGCATCTTACCATTCAATTTGTCTCCAATAGATGTCACGGCTTCTGTCTGCTCTGCTCAAAGCCTGCTAGGATTCCACATCACTTAAAGAACCAAGTCCAGATTTCCTCCCTTGGTGAAATGACCCTTGCTGCTCCCGCTGTCTCCTAACGTGCTGCCCTCTGCCTGCTTCTCAGCATCCCAGCCCAGCTGACCTCCTCTCCTTGTCACCTCTAAGGGTCCTCCTGCAGTCTCGCTCCCTGCACCTGTAGCACCTCCTGGACACCGCAAGATGCCTGCAGTTAAGTCTGACCACATCCACACAAAGCAATGCTCATCATTCTTTGACATGTGTGGCTTGTGCTCAGGTCTCTTTCTCACGTTCCCTGCACCACTGAATCAGAAGGAGCCATTTCCTGGGGACCCTTGCTCCTAGGTGGAGTCACAGCATGCAGAAAAGGTGGAGCACAGTGTGCCTGGCTCTCATCGTGGCTTCCAGCCTGCCATCACCTCCTCTGAGGCTCCTTGTCATGGGGAAAGCCAGCCACAAGCGCTCCTCTTTTGCATCCAGAGCTATGTCATATCACCTCTTCTCCGCAGCCCTGCAGCCCAGTGACCGATAGAGTCTTCCCGTTGTACCTCACTGTCCTCTGTTTGGGTCTTAAACTTTTCCAAATCCCATGTCATCTGGTCTCATCATAAAGTTCATTCAGTTTGAAGCACTCACATTGCTTCTGTGTGTCTGATGGAGCCTGATTCGTACTTGGCTTCTCCTCTTTTACTCTGGGGGAAACTCAACAGCCTTTAATGTGGGCCCCGCAGCTGCCTACACTTGTTCTGCGCTCAGCCAGGGAGCATCATTTTACGGTGCCCTCAGCTCACTATAAATACGTGCTAGAATGACCCAGTCCTCGTCCTGCTACCTACTCAGCAACACTCTTGTTCTGAATTGAGGGAAATGCTACTCATCTTTGAGCTATAAACATGAAATTAAATGTTTATGGAAATTATTCTGTCCATTCCACACCTTCTGTCCCTGCTATACATTTGACTGAGTAGCCATTACATTGCTGTGTTCTCTGCTGAGGTGGAAGTCTCAAAGCACCAAAGCACGGGTACTGTACCTATGTCCAGGCAATAGGAAGTGTCTGATATACAAGATTCTTATTTATGGAATTTTAAAAATCCTCATTTGTTTAGCTGAAAAGTTTACTGAGTGATAGATACTGTGTAATGTAAAACTTCGTAAGATATTAGAGAGCAGCAACAAGAAACATGATTGAAACAGTGTGTGAGAACCACAGGAGCTACATACAGAGGGAACCATAAAAGCATCACAGAGAATATTCTAGAATGGACTGAGGGGAAGGTCGCCTCAGAAGAATGACTGATTCTGCACAGTAAAATCAGAGGTATAAATATTTAAAATAGAGAGTGGCATGTGTAAATGAATCTAAGAATCCAGGAGTTTTAGCAGCAGTCAATGCCTGTGCTCAACTCTGAACAAATAAATTGGTAACTCTGGTGTAGATCTTGGACATTTTTTTCCCCTGCAGCTGAGACTGAAGAGAATGATTTGGTAAAACACTCAGCACACACAGAAACACGGAAATATTAAAGAATAATGAGTGAAGGGACTTCACACAGTACTTACAGCTGAACTCCTGCAAAGATAACTTGGAAAAGAGTAGATTAAAATACAAAATATGAGGCCATAGAAGTAAAAAGAGATGTAATGATAAATTATTTGAATTCATATTTTCAATTTGTAAATGAGAAGACTGCTGAAAAATTATAGGCAAGGGAAGGATTAGGGACGAATTTGAGAAAGATCACTGCTAACCACATGCAGGGAATGTTACAGGCTGGACAGAGCGCTGTGCATGTCCTGGATGGCCGTGTTTTGGAGAGGGATGTGTGTCAGGGTGAAGCGGGGCACCCGAGGGTAACTCTGAGATGTGTGTGTGGGGTGCCGCAGCCCAGCACTGCCTGCTGTGCCTGGAACACGCGTTCTGATTTCCTTACAATTAAACAAATTTGTTCCTAATACACATTTAACTAACGTAGGCACAATGAAATCGTACATTATTTTTTTTAAACAGAAACCCACAGTTTCCCAGCTTTAGAAACCTGCAGTTGGAGGGTGTCACCCCCCCTGCAAGGGTGCTCACAGAGGGGTTGGCACTGTGGTCCCTCTGTGTGGCCTCCCAGCCCTCGGGACACCATGCACTGGGATCCAACCTCAGGTATCGCTCCTCCCTCCATGCAGTCCACCCCTGCAGGGAATGGGTTGCTGGGCATCATGGGGAAGGCACGCACAGCAGCTCCTCCTGGTTACTCTGCAGCCCCGTGAAAGAACGACTGCTCAGACTCGGAGGGTGAGGCAGAGGTGACCCCCCCATACACAGGGAGAAGCAGGAATGTGTGCATCCAGACTTCGCTGTGCCTTAAGGCTAAGACGGTTTACACCTCTCTCTCTCTTTTGCCAGTGTAGCTGGCAACATTCCTCCTGCCTTTGGGGACCACTGGGCCCAGCACTCCGGAGGGTTCCCAGGAGCACCAGCCAGCTCCACCAGCTGTGTCCAATTGAACAGGGCCACCCCGAGTGGTGACTTTTCTTTCACCCCTGTAGGAGACAAATAAGTACTGGGCTTATTTGGCCAATCCAGTGCCCCTCTCCATGTGCCCCATGGGCCAGTCCTTTCAAGTGCCTCTCACCCCAGCTCTCCACACCAGCTAAGCATGGGAACTCAATTTCTTGCAGGTAGCAGAGTGTGCAGATGTTTTTGCTGGGGCTAATCTCTGGTTCCCATATGGGGACAGTAGTATTATCACACTTCAGCCCGCTAGAAAGAGCCCTAAGTGAGGGAGGAAACGCTTTGCAGGTGTTCTCCTCCCTAATGGACCTAAACACTGCGGCACGTGCATACTTTTATTTGCAAAGTGATTTCCCCGTCTGCATGTTTAGAATGAGACTCGTGTGAAGCACCGCTGTGCAATCGCCAGCAGGGCCAAAGGTTTCCTTTTAATTCAAGATTATTTAAATAAAAACAATATTATAAGTGGAAGTGCCGTTTTCTATCCAAACATGTAGCAGGGCTGTCCTTTTGCTCTGTGCTGTTACTGAAGAGTCCAGTGTTGTTGTTTGGGCATTGGATTTAAGAATCAGAGTTTCTTTCAAACCATTCACTGTTTTAATCAGGACTGATCTTCAGGTAAAATAAACCTTTGGAAGGTCTTTGAGCACTAACATTTCATTCATACCAGTCAGGGATATCTGGAAAGTAAGTGGGATGTCAGCTCTGTCATTTCTCCACCTCGTAGATAAGTCAAAGAGTTGCAATTGAAATTGTCCAGGATAAAAATATACATCAACACTACCCCTGATTTAGGGAACACTTGTGTCCTTCTCAAGCACAGACAGTGTCACCACTAATTAGTACATATTTGCAGTAAGTGTACGTTATTTGTGCACTAACCTCAAATTAAAAATTTAAGAAGAAACCGTTCATGAAGTCACAGGGTGGTGTTAAGAGTCTGATATTTTGTCATCTTCTGAAACAATGCATGTGATTTCCAGAAGAATTGAGAGAGAACCAGATCATATAAAATAATTTGTCAGAGGTTTTTCAAATCATTGTCTTCATTTTGAATATTAAAAGATCTAATGAATTAATCAAGACACTTCTTTTATAAATATGAGACTCTACATAACATAATTCTTATATAGCATAAAGAAAACGTGCATGCTAGAGTTGGGGATTGAGTTTAGGGTCAGGTATGAGAAGGGAATATCTGTAGAAAGACAGAGAGCAGTGAGCATGGTCACAGGACGTGGGGAACCGAAAG